GAGAGAGAGAGAGAGAGAGAGAGAGAGAGAGAGAGAGAGAGAGAGAGAGAGAGAGAGCGTATATTAGACAGGTGACCATCTTACACGGTGTCATTATAATGTTCTAAATACGCAAGGGAGGAATGCGATTGTCTTATTCAGATGGGTGTTTAGAGCAGTTTCTACTGTGTTAACAATTAAAATACTCACCATAACCACCAACAGTACGGCTGAAAGAATGAATCTGTTCATCGTTGTAAGATATTCAGCTGCGTAGTAGGCCTGTGGAGTAGAGTAGAATATATATGGAGATAACTAAATTATATAATGTTCAAGAGAGTATATATAATGTATCAGAGAGTTTGACAGTGGCACAACGTGACATGGAGAGGCGGATACAAATAAAAGACTTTTACAGTAATTTACATCGTTTAGTGTAATTGGCATAAAAATGTTACATTTGGATAGGCTATAATACATGTATTATCAAAAATTGGGCCAATTTTGTGGGCACCCAAACAGCCATTAAATGCTGGAAAGCATTACACGTCGCCGTTGGTAATATCGTATTTCCTCTTCAAATGTGAACATAGGTTAAGTTCAAATGTGACATAGCAAGAGCAAATCTAACATTGGTCAAGTTTTGTGACATTGGAGGTTCATCAAATGTGACACTTTTTTTTTTTTTTTTTTTTTTTTACTGTAGTACTCTGGCGTACACTGTAAGATCAAATGTAAACATAACAAGTTTTATCACCAAAAGTGTCATTGGTGAGCTATGACGTAGGCCATAATACGCGTAGGCTATGCAAAATGTGTGTGAGAAGAGGGAAGTGCTGGGAACAATCCCATTGTCAGCGTCACGGAGATTTTTTTGTATTTTACATAAATTTATGAAAAAACGTTTTTTAATCTAGCCTCAATAATAATTGTAGAAAAATATGATTAGATCTAAGTACATGCACTGCCAGGTCAAAAGTTACTTATCGGACTATTGCTGCCTGGAATCTTCAAGACAAAGTGTAGAGGCGGGGTTAGTTAGTAGTATAGGGTTTTACGGCGCTCGCAACTGCATAAGGTCATATGAGCGCGCGAAATACAAGTTGTTTACATTCGCAAAAGTTCACTGCACGGTTGGTTAACTATTAGCCCTTAAAATGCTAAAATATTAAAATTAGGTGTAAATATATTTTCAATTTAAAACAACTCTTATAAATAACAATAACATTTTTTAATAGTACGATATCACTTTACAATTTGCCATAAAGGCCAATGGCCTTCATAAAATTCAAAATTCTACCGGGACCAACGACGGAAAAAATGTCTTGCAATTTCTTGCATTTATAATATTTCCTTCGGATCTCTCCAAAGTCCAGACATTCGGTTAAGATGTGTCTAACGGTAAAATCTGTGTCGAACGGCAAAGCCAAAGTGTTGAGGCGGGGTGGGTGGAGAGGAAAACAAGCGACACATAAACGACAAGCGCTCGCTCACACTAGCCTAGAATTGTGTGTGGGAGAACGAGAGGTTATCACGGTGCAGCTGTTGACTGAGTGCCGTGCTCCGTGTAAAATGTGTACATGTATCTCCAGCGGTCAGTGATGGCGGTATTGCGGGGCAAATTAATAACTATTATAGTACAACTCAGGCAAACGACGGATGGCAGTTTAAAGTAAATTAAAGAGGCAAACAGTAGTTATGCCTTTTGGTGCATTGTTAAAACCTAAATTTCTTTTGTTTTATGCCCCCATTGACACAATTTAGACCACCGGAGCTGACCCTGCCTGTCTGAGCCACCCCGGGCTGAAAAGAATATGTTACACATCCAGCTAGCAGAAAGACCGAGATTCTCGATAAAAATTTCTCACTACTCGGGAATCGAACTCAGGTCCTCTGCATACAACAGAGAGGTGCCTTAAAATTACAGACGCTAAACCTGGCAGTAAGATTAAAATAATGACACCAGTTTTCTTGTGGGAAATCGATTGGAGTATTTTTTAAGACTTACCGTATAAAAATATTTTTTGGAAAAGATTTTTTATCTAAGTCTTGAAAATTTCAAAATGATGAATTCATTGATTAATTTTATTTTTTAT